GATAATTTCAGAGACGGCTGAGATTTAAGTGATAAAATTATACTACTTATAGTACTTATACTACTACAGTACTTATACTACAAAGTGATAAACTTTAACTTATACTACCCGTAAGTTGCTTAGCACTATGCCTGGGACATCTAGGTGTCCAAAAAATGGTAGCTTTTTGTTAACAGACAAGACTACTACAGTATGAGAAATCACAGGGTACAAATTATACATAAATGTGACATCTGAGTTAAACAGTTAAACGACCAATACCTAAGTGGTTAGAATCTAACCCAAGTCTTTCTCTTCTGCCTAGGGAGTCTTCTCCACCACGATCTGCCTGCTCTTTGGTCTAGCTCTCTTAGATACTCAAGATGAACGGTTCTTTCTGGCAGATTTACTGAGCATAACCTTGGGGAGCAGGTCAGGACACTTTGGCACGGTGGGTAAAGCTGCCAGCACCTTAGGACCAAACTCTACCAGTAGTCATGTTCTTTCACCTGTTGTGTGAAACACAATTTTTATTTATTTATTTATTTATTTATTTATTGAGACAGAGTCTCACTCTGTTTCCCAGGCTGGAGTGCAGTGGTGTGATCTCGGCTCACTGAAACCTCCGCCTCCTGGGTTCCAGCGATTCTCCTGCCTCAGCCTACCGAGCAGCTGGGATTACAGGTGTGCACCACCACACCCAGCTAATTTTTGTATTTTTAGTAGAGACAGGGTCTCACTATGTTGGCCAGGCTGATTTCAAACTCCTAACCTCGGGTGATCTGCCCGCCTTGGCCTCCCGAAGTCCCAGGATTACAGGGCGTGAGCCACCGTGCCTGGCCTAAAACACAATTCTTACTTAGAACAAATGACTGACATACAAATTGTCAGTTAAACTTATTCAGAGTTAGGTATTTGGTAGATTTTTATCCCCAAAATGAGTAAGTTTTGAGCTTTCAAAGCAAAAACTAGAATTTCAAAAAACTTCCAGCTACCTCCATGAGCTTAATAGTTTTCTACACTCAAAGACTGTTAATGGTATTAGTGGTGATACCTTAATGATGTGATTTTGGATAGTACATAATAAAATGTGTCAACATTTTGAATATCTGCATACCTCAGTGAGACCATTACTTTCCAAATGACCAGTACATGCTGCTAAAAACCATGCATGGATAAAAAGTATCTATTCAAAGTGCAAAACTGACCAATGGATTTTAATGTAAGAGTATAAAAATTTCTTGATATGGCTTCAGATTCTACATTGCACCTAAACATTAAGAAATTAACATTTGTCAAGTTGTGGTATAGAATCAAAGAATATCCACAATTATCTTAAAAGGCTATTAAAATATTCCTTTTTTTCCAAATACACATCTGTGTGAGGCCAGATTTTCTCCATATTCTGCAATCAAAACAACATATGGCCACAGATAGAATGCAGAAGCAGATAGGAGAATCCTGTTGTCTTCTATTATGCCAGCCATTAAAGACAGATGTGCAAAACTGTAAAAACAATACTATTCTTGCTATTTTTTAGAAATACATTTTTTCACGAAATCTGTTTTGTGAACTTATAATGAGTTTACGATTGCCTTTTTTTTTTTTTTTTTTGAGACAGGGTCTTTGAAAGGTCTTGATCTGTCACCCAGGCCAGAGTGCAGTGGCGAGATCATAGCTCACTGCACCCTCAAACTCCGGTGCTCAAATGATCCTCCTGCCTCAGCCTCCCGTGTAGCTGGGACTACAGGTGCATCCCATGGTGCCCAGTTTTATAGTTGCTATTTTTAATGAATTGATAAATATTTTAGATGATTTTTAATCTATAATCTTCTCTTCCCATTGTTTTTGAGTTAGGTGCTGTGAACAGATTTGTCCTCCCTCTCGTTTATTTATTCTGTGTCACACTAGTGTTCTCTTATCCCAGAAATGTGGGAAGTGGAAGGCAATGGAAGATGGGGTGATTAGAATCTTCTGGTAACTGTGCGTACACTCATGTAGACCATCTTTGAAACATTTTTTGGTTGGGTTTCGTGTTTCCCAAATTGCTGTCTTCAGTCCAAAGCTCTCTCCTGAACTCAACCAGCATAATCATTCACTTAACAAATATTTATTTAGTGTCAGCAACACGCCAAGCAATGTGTATCCACAATGGTCTCCATAACACGTCTCCTTGGATGTCCAGCAGGCACTGTAAACTCTGAACCACCCATGCTAACCTTGTGTTTCCTCCCATGCTCCTGTCACAATGACTGGTGCCATGAGCCACCCTGAGGCTCAGGCCAAACATCCGGGCATTTTCCTCACCTGTCCTCTCTCCCTTCATCCAACCGACTCTCAAGTGCCAGAAAATATACCTTTTTAACATCTCTCAAATTTTCCACTTTTCTCCATCTACCCTCATTCAGGCTTCCTTTATCCCTCACTAAATTATTAACAAACGCCTTCAAACTGTTCTCTCTCATCCTATCTTAGCCTTTTTTCCTCTGTCCCCCACACTGCATAGGGCCAGGCAATCCTTGACAGCGTGTCATTAAAAGGGCTGGGGTTGAAGATCATCATCTCCGTTTCACAGATGAGGAAAAGAGGCTCTGGAAGTTAAATAACTTGCCCAAGCGATATTTTTTAATGGCAAGGCAGGTCAGATCACACCCTCTGTTTAACCTCTAAGGGCATTAATTCTTTTTTTTTTTTTTTTTTAAGACAGCGTCTCACTGTGTCGCCCAGGTTGGAGTGCAATGGTGTGATCTCGGCTCACTGCAACCTCCGCCTCCCGGGTTCAAGCGATTCTCCTGCCTCAGCCTGCTGAGTAGCTGGGAATATAGGCACCCACCACCACGCCCAGCTAATTTTTATATTTTTAATAGAGAAGGGGTTTCACCATGTTGGCCAGGATGGTCTTGATCTGTTGACCTCATGATCCACCCGCCTGGGCCTCCCAAAGTGCTGGGATTACAGGCGTGAGCCACCGCGCCCGGCCTCTAAGGGCATTAATTCTAACGATAAAATACAAGCTCTTCAGTAAGGCATATGAGGGTCCTCCGTGCCTAACTGTCCAGCCTCCTTTTTGCCCTATGCTCCTTTTATTACCAGGCTTTAAAAAAATACCTGCTATTTCCTTTGCCTGGGCCACTTTTCCCCCCAACAGACTGAGCTTAGCTGTATCTTTCTTCAGGAACCCTCCCCTGACTGCCTAAGACTGAGTGAGGAGCCCTGCTTATGGTTCACGTTTCAGTCTAATGGCAGAAGAACTTATTACACCTTTTTTATTTTGTATTCCCCTACCTGCTTCAGGGAGGACCTGTAATACATTTCCATTACTGTCACATTCTGCATTTCCTGCTGGGGTCACTTGACCTCCTAAATTTTTTTCTCAATTTGCATACATTAGATCAACTCTTTGTGCTGTACAGTTCTTCATCACACGCCCACCATTACAGTGTCATACAGAATCGTTTCACTGTCTGCAAACTCCCTTGTGCTCCATCTCCCCCAACACTCCCTCCCCTGCACCATGCCACAGTTTAACTGCCTATGGACTTGACGAGCTCTCTCTCTCTCTCGGGTTCAGGATCTGTTCTGTTTAACCTGGTGTCCCCCGCCTGAGACAAAAATGCCCAGCCCTCTGAGGATGCTCTACAAATATCTGTTGAATGTCAGAACTACAAACTTGTGGTGCATCTACAGGTTAAACCTTGTCCCTGAGTGGCAGTGGTGCTAGTGAATTAGTCGCTCTGATGCCCATGGCAGCCCTTTCCACAGCTCCAGTTCACTCCCAGGCCCCCACTCTGCTGTCTCCTCCTGGATGGCATGTGCTTGTCCAAATGCATGTAGCTCCGAGAGGACTAAGTCACTCAAACGCCTGCCGGGCTCGGGAGGAAGGAATCGTGACAGGAATTGCTGCCCAAGAAATGGGAAAGGGGACCAGCCCCTCGGGGAAGGGAGGCTGCGTAACAGGGAGCGACACTCGCAGCAGAGAAGAAAGGGCGGCGGGAGCTCGAAAAGCTTTAGTTGGAAAACCCCACCTAAAACCAACCTGCTTACTTGTCAGTGTTTTATTTCTGTTCTTTTTTTTTTTTTTTGAGACAGTCTCACTCTGTCACCCAGGCTGGAGTGCAGTGGTATGATCTCGGCTCACTGCAATCTCTGCCTCCCAGGTTCAAGCAATTCTCCTGCCTCAGCCTCCTGAGTATATGGGAACACAGACGCCACCACGTCCAGCTATTTTTTTTGTATTTTTAGTAAAGAAAGGGTTTCATCATGTTGACCAGGCTGCTCTCAAACTCCTGACCTCAAGTGATCCGCCCACCTCAGGCTCCCAAAGTGCTGGGATTCCAGGTGTTGAGTCACCACGCCTAGCCTTAAATGTCAGTTTTAATACTAAAAGTCCAGCATCACCACGAGGCTGTGAATCAAGGCACTCTCTGTGTACTGCTAGGCAGGCTGGGTTAGGACTTGGCCCTGAAAGTCTAGTTAGTCCCTGCTTGGAAATCTGCCTTTCTAGTTCCTATGACTTTAGAAGGAGTTGGGAGAACTCCAGAGCTGTGGGTGGAGGGGAGAAGCTCCTGATAAGTGAACCATCAGAGCCTGAACAATGGCTTCCTCTGTGCAGCTGGCTATGCACCTGGTGCCTGCACAGGGCCCTCTGTGCTTTTGTCCTTCCGCACACAGTGATGTCCACACACAGACGAGACTTATAAATACCCTCCAAAGGAGAAGTGAAATCACTGACCAGTTCTCCTTTTCTCTGCTTAGCTGGAGCCCAGCAGCTGAGAGCAACTGGTACACACTCACATTCCTCAGTAGAGCGGCGCAACCCGCTTTCATTTTTTTATGGTTGGGAAGTTTTTGGCAAACATCCTGTTTAGGATGAAATGGGACTCAGACTGACTCTCAGGGGCTAAATTTACTGCCTAGAAACTTTAAGCAAATGAAAAGAGAAAGCAAAGGAAAGGACAGGGCCTATGAGTGCACCATTCACAGAAACGAACGCTGGAGTCTTCTGGAAGGGAGCATTTTACCTGTACGTAGAAGGTCCTGGAGCTTGTTATTATTTCAAACAGGTTGTCCCTCATTAGGAGATCACTAGACAGAGAAAGAGAAAGAATGTTATGGCTTGCTGACATACACACAGAGGACTTGATATGTCCTGTTAAGACCCCAGTGCCCTCTACCATAAAAAAGGAAGATGGGTGGGGGGTGGTTCCAAGCCATTCTTCCTTCAGCTCCTGCCTTGAAAAACACTCCAGGGGTTGCCTCTAGCTTCATTTCCCAGAGGGTCTCAGGAGGCTTTGCCATCCAGATGGACCCTCCCCAGGCCCCTCTCCCACCAGCAGTTCTAACAAGCTCCTTTCCCTCCAAAACCTCCTGCCTAATATCCAATCCCCCCACCACCATCTCCTACAGTTTCCTTCTTTCCTGCCTCCCTCCTTCCCTCTAAGGTGTATGAGGTGCTTTGTGAGAAGTACTGTTTCGGGTGCTTTTTTGAAGATTATTTCATCTAATCTCCACAACAGCCCTGGGGGGCACTTAAGACTGCCCCCATTTTACAGATAAGGAAACCCAGACCCACACTCAGAGTCAGAGCTTAAATGACTCGTCCAAGTTACCAGAGATTTGGAACCCAGGTCTGACTCCAGAGTCTCTGCTTTATTTATTTATTTATTTATTTGAGACAGAGTCTCGCTCTGTTGCCCAGGCTGGAGTACAGTGGTGCAGTCATGGCTCACTGGGACTACAGGCACATGCCACCACTCCTGGCTAATTTTTGTGTTTGTCATAGAGACATGGTGTTTCCATGTTGCTCAGGCTGGTCTTGAACTCCTGAGTTCAAGCAATCTGCCTGCCTCAGCTTCCCAAAGTCCTGGGATTACAGGCATGAGCCACCGAACCCGGTGAGCTTGTGGTTTTAATTACTCCACTGCCATTGGCCTCTCCTAAGGAAGCCAACTCTCCACTCCCTATACTGTCTCCTCCATCCACACTGCAGCCCCATCAACTTCACTCAGCTCCTGCTCCTTGCCTCACTGTGTGGGGCCCAGGAGACAAAGAGCTAAGGAGGAGGAAAGCAAGGGGAGAGGAGATGACTTCAGAGCACTCCTTCAGGGGACACTGCTGGGTGTGGGTTTTGGAAAAGAAATCCTGACTTCTGCAAGGAAGAGGGCAGGGAGTAGCTGATGCTCAGTGACAAACCTCAAAGCAGCCCAAGTTATTTCCCATTGTTAAATGCCTGCCACGTATGTCCCCAGCCACTGTGGGGAGTACATAAGGAGTAAAAGATCTAATTCCTACCCAATGAAAGAACATAAGGGCCAGGTGTGGTGGCTTACGCCTGTAATCCCAGCATTTGGGAGGCCAATGTGGGCAAATCACTTGAGCTCTAGGCCAGCCTGGGCAACATGGTGAACCTTGTCTCTACAAAAAAATTACAAAACTGAGTTGGGTGTGGTGGCACACATCTATAGTCCCAACTACTTAGGAGGCTAAGGTGAGGAGGATCACCAGAGCCTGGGAGGCAGAGGCTGCAGTGAACTGAGATTGCACCACTGCACTCCAGCCTGGGGGACAGAGCAAGACTTTATCTCCAAAAAAAAAAAAAAAAGAACATAAGGAAGCAAAACTGTAGCATCAGATGCTAGATTGTGTGTTACATGCCAAGATTTGGAAAGGACTGATCACAGGTGGGGTCGGCTTCATGAATGAGAAAGCCTGCAAGAAAATGGCAGGGGTTCGGCCAGTGCCACAGGTACCTGGGCAAAGGAGTGCATGAGACCAGAGAGCCATGAGCAAGAACAACAGGACAGGGGCCAGACAGACCTTGAGTGAATCCTGACTACATGTAGGGAAGAGATGTTTGAAAATGTTGTAAAAACCTTGGGGAGCCTTTGTGACCCCAAGTATAAAACAGAGATAAATGAGACGACCCCCTTGATCAGGCTGGTCACTACAAAGACCAGTTAGTTATAAAGTACAGAAGGCATCCGGCATAATGTGTGTCACAGAATAGTCACTTGAAGCACATTTCACCAACTATGATTACTTTCTGAGTTTCTGAATAAAAAATGCTTCTTTCTGGCTAAAATGTCTTAACCTTTCAAATTCTACTCATGCATAGCCAGTAAAGTCACATAAACAACTACTGAGGAGGTGAAAGAAAAGCAGGTGGGAAATCCCCACTCCTTTCACATCTACTTCTCAGGGTGGGAAGGGAGAGAGGGGGCGAGGGATAAAAGACTATGCATTGGGCACCAGGGACACTGCTGTGGACGGGTGCACCACAATCTCAGAAATCACCACTGAAGAACTTTTCCATGCAACCAAACACCACCTGTTCCCCAAAAACTACTGAAATTTTAAAAAATTTAAAATATGTGTGTATGTGTATGTGTATATATGTGTGTGTGTGTGTGTGTGTATATATATATGTTTTTTTTTTTTTTTTTTTTGAGATAGAGTTTCACTCTTGTTGCCCGGGCTGGAGTGCAATGGTACGATCTCGGCTCACTGCAACCTCTGCCTCTCAGGTTCAAGAGATTCTCCTGCCTCAGCTTCCCGAGTAGCCGGGATGACAGGCGTCCACCACCACAACTGGCTGACTTTTTGTATGTTTAGTAGAGACGAGGTTTTGCTATGTTGGCCAGGCTTGTCTCGATCTCCTGGCCTCAGATGATCCACCCACCTGGGCCACCCAAAGCGCTGGGATGGTGGCTGTGAGCCACCAGGCCTGGCCTAAAAAGATATATATATATATATTTTTTAAACAGCACCAGGTTAAATGGAGCCTTTCAACTCAATTCAATTCACCTGAACAAATATTCATTGATTATCAAGATGTCCTAAACCCCTGGACTGGGTTCCAGGGAAGCCAAGCAGTTTAACAGGCATGGAAGCTGCGGAGGCCCAAGGACCTCCTTCCCTGCTGGTCCCTGACTGCTTTAACTCAGTTTAGTGTGACTCTGGCAGAGTCAGAGAATTAGGGAAAGTTCAAGGCACTCTTACGATTTAACCCTAAGTTTCTTATGGTTCTCTAAGCTTCTCCCGTGTGCCCAGGTGGTCTCACATCTGCAAGGGCCCTCCACGGTCAGGTACAATCAAGGATCTCATCATGCCCAATCTTTCCTCTGCCTACTTCTGGAGCCATACTTCTGGAATTTCCATGTAGAGCTACTTTCCTGAATTATAAAGAGTCACTGGGAACCTCCCCAGTCTTCTGTACTCTGCAACTGCCATTTGCAAGACTTAGGAGAATGCTTCTGTCTCTGCCTCCTTGGGTCACACAGCACGTTGTTTTCATGCAAGACTGTTTGTGCCTTCATGGGAGAAGAGTCGGCCTGCTGTGAACAGCTTTCCTGATGATATCTGAGGGTTCTGCTTGCACAAGCCGTGAGATGGAGGGACACAAACACCCAGTCTCTAAAGACTGCAGATTGGTGGCCAGAAAGAGGGTTTCTGGATGCCCCAATACCCTTGGGGTCTCTAAAGATTAGTTCTATAGGCATCTGTATTTGGCGTTGGACCTGGGAGATCCCTTGCCAAGTCCCAAACTCATCCTATGTAATGCGACACCTGGAAGGTAACTATTTCCTAGAGGACAGAGGAATCCCTTTAAAATACCTGTTCTTCTTTCCCAGTGGGAGTAACACAGAGACGCTATGAATCACCTGTGTTAATGGGACATCAGGGTCAAAAGGAGGAGAAAAGGCATAAGAAGGTCAGGGAAGAGGCACTGGTACAGTGATCTGACCAGAAGCACTGAGGTGAATGACCTAGAGGCCGGGTCTCTCCTCTGAGCCTGAGTTCCGCTAGGAATTGAGCACTTAATCCTAATACCTGAGAAGCTTTGGAGCCCCACTCTTTGTTTCTATATGCTTTCTTTTTGCCCACCAGAAACTATTATATGGGCCTATCTGCTTAGGAGCCAGAGTAAGGTATGGGAAGAGGGCAAATGTGCCCAGGGCGGTCTTCTCCCCGTGTTAGCTTGGATGCAGTGAGTCAGTCACAAGGTGTTAGTTAGGCTCCTCTGCCTGGCTCTTGGAAGCTCATGACTCTTGCATAGAGTCTCTGAAGGGTGGTAAAGGGAGATTTAAAGAGGACAAATGGAGGTTTGGATCAGAAGAGAAAAAACAGACACAATTACCCAGACTTGACTAGACATTCATGGGTCTTGAGAACATCCTTAAGAAATATAGTGCGCAGTGGTTCTCGGTCCTGGTGGAAAGAACAGAAAGACAGGTAAGTGAGGCTGCCTGTGACATATCATGACCAAGACCAGCTGACGAATACCCCTTTCTCAGAGATGGCTGGCTAAAATCAGGTTGACAAATAACCCGGTCTCAAAATAATCAGCAAGAGAAAAAAAAATCTGGCTGAGCAGAGTGGCTGCTGCCTGTACTACCAGGACTTTGGAAGGCCAAGGCTGGAGGACGGATTGAGGCCAGGAGTTCAAGACCAGCCTGGGCAACATCGTGAAACCCTGTCTCTACAAAAAATCCACCACTGTGCTCCAGCCTGGGTGACAGGTGACAGAGAAAGACCATGTCTCCAAAAACAAGAAAAAAGACAAAACAAACCTAAGAAGATGCTGTGTAGCTGTGATTCTGACCACACAGCAACTCACTGCTGAGAGGACACTTTACTGTCACTGTAAAGATGTGTGCACAGAATGGATGGAGATAAGACAGAGGTGCCTTTGAAGTCTTTGTGTGCCCACATCTCCACTCATGCACACTCTCCTGTGGGTGTGCATCTGTGCACCTCTTAGTTTCCATGACCTCTCAGCAGGGCAGCAAAGCTACTACAAACCTGCTCACACTTGAAGTAGCAGATGGTAAAGTCATCAAGTGCAAAGAAGCGACGTTTCCAGCTCTTCCGCTGTAATAACAAAATAAAAGGCAGAATATTAGCAAGAGGTGCCCAGCATTGTGGAGGGTGTTCTCATGCTAAGCTCCCAGAGACCCAGCCCCCTAGAAATCCGGCCCCCACATTCAGCAGGGGAAAGGGCTTCTTCATATCAGGCTTGACACCTCTGACAGGCCGGGGCCAATGGTCAGACCCCAATGGTCAGCCAATGGTCAACCCTCAAAGGTGGAGGCTCCATGGAGGACTGAGGCACCTCCTGTCAATCTCCTCTCACCTCTGCTATGTCTACAGCTACTGGTTCTGAGGAGTCACCAGAACCCCAGTTTAGCCCCTGTGCTGACACTCACCACATTCCCTTGCTTCACGCAGTAACCACTCTTAATGAGGGGAGGCCCAGTGGAAGCACGGCAGCCTGACGTGGGGATGTAACTCTGAGACCTTCGAAGGATGGCGTGGGACCCAGGCTCACTCCCTTCCTGCCCATCCCCACCGTTCTGCAAGGCAACAGTGTCAGGATCAGCGCCTCCCTGCCTCTATGCAGCCATAGCCCCATCCACCTCCCCCTGCCTGAATCTCTGGCCTCTTTGCCCTAAGTCAAAGAAGAAATAAATGGTGGGCACAGTGGCTCACGCCTGTGATCCCAACACTTTGGGAGGCCAAGGCAGGAGGATCGCTTGAGCCCAGGAGTTCTAGACCAGCCTGGGCAACACAGTGAGACCCAGTCTCTGCAAAAAAATTAAAAACTGTTTTAAAATTTTTGTTTAATTTTCATTTTAAAATTTAAAAATTAAAAAAAAGAATTACCCAGGCGTGTAGTCCCAGCTACTCAGGAAGCAGAGATGGGGGGATGGCTTGAGCCCAGGAGTCTGACGCTGCAGTGAGCCATGATTGCACCACTGCACTTCAGTCTGGGCAACAGAGTGAGACCCTGTCTAAAAAATTAAATAACAACATGGCAAAACCCCATCTCCACCAAAAAATAAAAAAACATTAGCCAGGCACGGGGGCTCATGCCTGTAGCCCCAGATGAGGTGGCAGGATCACTTGAGCCTGGGAAGGCTGAGGTAGGAGGATTGCATGAGCCTAGGAGGCGCAGGCTGCAGTGAGTCGTGATTATGTGTATCTGCACGTCAGCCTGGGTGACAGAGTGACACCCCATCTCAGAAAAAAAAAAAAAACTTACATAAATATAAATAATTAAAACAGGAAAATAAACCTTTCCTTTGCTCTGTCATGTACTTTACCGGGTACTTTCACAGAACCAGCATCAGGGAGGTTGGGCCGACCCAGGAGAAAGGGAAGGACAGAGAATGTGAACCAGGAGGGACACCGGGCTGGTTTCCAGCCTTGTTTGCCTTCCTCTATCCCATTTCCTACGGGTTTCACAAACCCTCTCTTCTGTGTCTCCTGTATCCAGCACAGAACTGCACAGGCCATTCGGCTTCAAGATGCAGTGGCCTCCACTTCTGCAATGCTGTCACTAACACCCACGAATGGGGCTGTAGCATGCCCAGTACTTCCCTGATGGCTCCACTGGCACCAGCTCCCCTCCAACTCCCACCCTCCTTTTCCCCAGTACAGTGCTCCAAGCACATCACGGGCACACCATGGACACTTCTACACCCCCACTCCCCCCGCAGCCCCAGTCAGGCCCCTCACCTGGCTGATGGGTGTGTGGACCACCACCCCTCCGATGATCTCTGTCTTGTAGGCCACCTGTGGCTTCTTCTCCAGGGCTGGAGGAGCTGCTAAGCTCTTGAGAACTTCAGTGGTCATGGGTAGGCCCCCACCTTTGGGTACCTGGGGAGAGCGGCAGCAACAGTCAATGGGGAACAGAAAGTTTAGGAAACATGGGGAGCCCAAAGCAGAATGGGGGTGCCGTGAGAAAAGCTAATGTGCCAAATTACAGTCAGACTTGTATGTCCTCCCCAGGCCTTCCGCAGTCCAAATCTGAATATGAGCGTCTCAGCCAGCAACGCCCTCCCCCAACACAGATACAAACTGACTCCAGGAATTTCTTGAGCACCTACTTATGAGCCAGCCCTTCCCTGGCTAGAAACCAAAGATAAAGTGTCAGCGAAACACACGTGGGTCCCCACCCTCATGACCCTTACATGCTAGTAGGGGGAATGACAAAAAAATACATAAAACAAACAGAGTAATTACAAGTGGTGGTGAGTGGCACAAAGAATATCAAGGGAGCTGAGGCAGCGCACAGCAGGGGACCTGCTGGAAACGGAGTGGGCAGGGAGGTCTCCAGAGGAGGAGGCAGGGAGACGCTCAAACGGCAACCTGGAGGGTGAACAGGAGCTGGGGGCCAGGTCTGGGGCCTCACACCTGTAATCCCAGCACTTTGGGAGGCCAAGGCAGGAGGGTCACTTGAGCCCAGGAGTTCAAGACCAGCCTGGGGAACATAGTGAGATCCCGTCTCTACTAAAAATGGAAAAAAAAAAAAAAATAGCCAGGTGTGGTAGCACATAGCTGCTCAACAGGCCAAGGTAGGAGAATCTCTTAAGCCCAGGAGTTGGAGGCTGAAGTGAGCTATAATCACACTACTGTACTCCAGGCTAGGTAAGAGAAACCCTGTCTCGAAAAAAATAAAAAATAATAAACTAAGAAAAGGAATCAGGAACATGAAGCTGGGAGAAGTCATTCTGGGCAGATGGAACAGGTAAAAATGCATGCCTTTGTAGAGACAGAACAAGGGGTCCATGAAGTCTGGAGCCAGAAAGCATGTGGTATAACCCTTCATCTCTCACAAACCACCCGAGCGACCTTTGGCAACCATCAGACCTCTCTAGGCCTAAACCGTCTCATGTATAAAATGAAAAGAGGAATAATATTTATCATAACTACTGTTGTGGTTATCAAATGATAGAATATATTAAATGCTTTAGAAAGACAACTAAAAGAAAAACATATTACAAAATATTTTAATTAAGGCTTCCCAGGTGGTACTAATAATTATACACAGAGCCCTTTTGGAAGAATGAGTTATCTTTGTTCTTCCTTGACAGAGATATGGTACCACAGCTGATCAAATCATCATACAATTTTGTTGTTGTTGTCGTTGAGACAGAGTCCCGCTGTGTCGCCCAGGCTGGAGTGCAGTGGCACAATCTTGGCTCACTGCAAGCTCCACCGCCCGAGTTCACACCATTCTCCTGCCTCAGCCTCCCAAGTAGCTGAGACTACAGGCGCCTGCCACCACGCCCGGCTAATTTTTTCTATTTTTTAGTAGAGACGGGGTTTCACCGTATTAGCTAGGATGGTCTCCAGGATCTCCTGACCTCGTGATCCGCCGGCCTCGGCCTCCCAAAGTGCTGGGATTACAGGTGTGAGCCACTGCGTCCGGCCCATCATAGAATTTTTATGGTTAGCTGGAAATCACAGGCCAGAGGTTGCAAATTGGTGGCCCATCCACCGACTTTGCCCAAACAATGTTTTGCTAGTCACATGCAGTGTTTTTTAAAATCTGCATCTAAGTTTTGGGATATTTCACAGAAAAATCCAGATTTTCAGCTCTGCAGCAGTTCCCTTTTAGATAGAAAATGCATTCCGTATTTGCACAGTCTCTACCATTCTCCCCAGCAGAATGGGAGAGGCCAGGGGTCAGATGTCACTTATCCTCATTCTTGTTCTCATGTTTCTTCCTCCTTGCTCACTTCACTCATTTACACTAGAGTCTGCAAATGCTGAGGAAATCTTTCATTTTGTTAGAAAGAAAAAAAAAAAAAAAGAGGCCCAGAACAGTTGAGTCATTTACCCAAAGCCAGGATTAACAGCTGAATGTCGGCCAGGCATGGTGGCTCATGCCTATAATCCCAGCACTTTGGGAGGCCGAGGGGGGTGGATCATCTGAGGTCAGGAGTTCAAGACTAGCCTGACCAACATGGTGAAACTGTCTCTACTAAAAATACAAAAGTGAGCTGGGCATAGTGGCGGGCGCCTGTAACCCCAGCTACTCAGGAGGCTGAGTCAGGAGAATCGCTTGAACCCAGGAGGCAGAGGTTGCAGTGAGCCGAGATCACACCATTGCACTCCAGACTGGGCTACAGAGCGAGATTCTGTTTCAAAACAAAAACAAAAATACGGCTGAATGTCTACTAAATCCTGACTTCCCACCAGTGCCCCAGCATCACAATGTCCCACCTTTAGGAGAATGCAACACCCTACATCTATCTGCCGGGACGTCACCAGGACTTCGAGAGAAAAGCTAAGGTTCTCTCCCACTTCTACAGCTTTCAGAGTCAGAAAGACCTAAGGATCCAGACCCTTTCAAGAGCTCAGAGTTATATGAGAGCCCTGTCATTTAGTGTCTGTTCAAAACAATAAGAGCACCCTGACTATGCTGGGCCCCCACAAAGATGACGAGACCTTCTCTTCCTGGACTGCCCACTCAGTTTACATAGACAAGGATGTCCTCTGCCCCCTCCCTACCTCTCCAAATCAGGCCAGAAATTCCGCCTTCTATTTTCCTTCTGGCTGAGAGATACCAACAGTTACAGTCAGTATTTTGGGCCTCCATTCAGCTGCAGGCAATGCCTGATAAGCTCTGCTGCA